CAGTGAACTGCAGTAAAAAACATACCTAGCCTGGTTGGTATACACCACATAAAAAAGGGGGGCCTGACAATTCTAATGCCTGTGAAGTGTTTACGGGGTAACAAGCCTCCAACCCCCCCCTCCCCCAGTGACAGTAGACAGGGGGTTCTTTTCCCCTTAACCACCCGCCAACTGCTCACAGTAAATATACTGCAACTGAGTGGCAGGTACAGGCACAATCACGTACGTGATGGCCATCACCCCAGTTTTGGGAGCTGATGCGCGTGCCCCCTGCCAAACCAATCTGTGACTGGACACAGCACCTGTTCGGCAGAACATTTCAGCCAATGATTTCAGCCAAAACCAGCTGAATGGCTGTATCCAATCACACAGAGTTCTGTGTTTACAAAAACACAGAACTCTGTGTACAGGGAACAGCGATCTGGTAATTTCACCTCCCTGAAAAACAGGGAGAAAAAACAACCAGACCAGAAAATAAAAGCAGCATACGTCCCTAGGGTTGGTGTCACCCGGTGCAATAACACTTGGTGACACCCCCGCCGACGATCCCCGCAGAATGGATCGGATCTGAGGATTGAGCATAATGGATCGGACTTCAATCCATAAGGCTCAATCCGCAGATCTGATCCATCCTGCAGGGATCGATAGCTTGCTTTACAACTTACCTTTTCGTGGAGAGGGTGCGGTGTCACCCCATATAGGTTGCGTGCCAATGATCCCCGCAGGATGGATCAGATCTGCAGATTGAGCATAATGGATCGGAGTCTGAACGATTATTCTCCCCAATGCGCAGATTCGATCCATCCTGCGGGGATCGTCGGCATGCAGCCCATACAGGGTAACACTGGACCCGCTCCACGAAAAGGTAAGCTGTAAAGCATGCCGACAATCCCCATAGGATGGATCGGATCTGCAGATTGGGCAGCATAATGGATCGGACTCCGATCCATTATGCTCAATCCGCAGATCCGATCCATCCTGGGGGGATCGTCGGCTTGCTTTACAGCTTACCTTTTTGTGGAGCGGGTCCGGACTCCGGTGTCACCCGCTGTGGTGCGCACCCCCGCACCTGCCTAAGGACACCCTGATTATACATTGTACACTTTCAAAAATAAGTCTCTCAACATGTTTCCATTATGTATCGTTCAGAAAGCAATGCATGCTATGCTATGGGAAGCTTAGATCTGGAGATCTGTGTGGACTGTACTATTTTGGAAGACTTGTCATTAGCATGTTATATAGGAGGTGGAGTGCTGGCACAGACAGCTCCCTGACATACATCCACCACATGGATTAATGATTATTCTATGTCTTGTAGATACAAGAGCCAGTAAATCTTGCACACTCTTCTGTTCACATCAGTATTGTTTCCTGTTAGCATTCCACAGCCCAAGTCTAAATAAGATGATCACTAAAGAAAGGACGAAGCATAAAAAAATCCCATGTATTTTCATGTCAAGAAGAATTCAGTATGTAAACAATATGATCAACAATGCCTGTGGGCAGCAGGTCTGAGCCCAGGTTCACACGTGTGCAGTGCGAAGTAGACATTCCAAAGTAGCTGTTCAGCAGTTCAGCTGCGATTTAGATACAGCTCTGAAGTGAATTGGCAAGTCAGATTCTAACACGAATGTTAGGAACGAGTGGCCGCCAGTGTCCTAACAATAGTTGGTTGTTAAGGAGCGGGCCAGAAAGCTGGTCGCCCCATCCTTGACAGCGGTTTCCCGCTGACAGCTGAATGTAAACAAAACAATTGCCAGCAATTCAAATTGAGGGGAAAATAACAGCATGGGAACCCCCATCAATGCATACCAGGCCCTTTGGGTCTGGTTTGAATTTTAAGGGGAACTCCAAACAAAATAAAAAAAAAAAACGGCCTGACCCATCCTTCCCCAAATTCATACCAGACCCCTAGGTCTGCTGTGGATTTTGAGGGGAACCCCACTCCAAATTAAAAAAAAAAATGGCGTAGGGTTCCCCTTATCTGAGCATGCAGCCCGGCAGGCCAGGAAAGAGGGGGGCAAGTGAGCGCCCTCCCCTCCTGAACCATACCAGGCCACATGCCCTCAACATGTGGGGGGTGCTTTGGGGTTGGAGAGCTTCCCCCAGTGCACCTTGTCCCCTTGTTGATGGTGACAAGGACCTCTTCCCCACAATTTTGGATGGTGGCTGTGGGAGTCTGTGGGTGGGGGACTTATCAGAGTCTGGAAGCCCCCTTTAACAAGGGGGCCACCAGATCCCACCCGCCACCGACCCAAATAACAAATAAAGCTCTGTACCTCTCATCTCCTCCTGCCGCTAAATAAACTAAGGGCATGCCCACCCGGTGATGTTACCCCCGGCCAATGATGTCACAAGGGGTGGGGTCACCCTATGACGTCACTGGGTGGCCCCCACCCCTTAGATTATTTAGCATCGGGTACAAGGCTCTTTTTATTTCAGCTCAGTGGCAGCAACGTTCATCGTGATAGACGTGGATTTATTTCGGGGGATATGGTTTTTGTGGGAGGTTTTTTGTTTTTTTAATAAAGGACTTGTCGAAAACTGTCTCTGTATTTTTATTTATTTTTAACTTTTTTGGTAATTGAGTAGGGGTACAATGTGCCCCATACTCATTCACATGGTGGGGGTCCAGGATCTGGGGGCCCCCTTGTTAAAGGGGCTTTCAGATTCTGATAAGCCCTCTGCCCACAGACTCCCCATAACCATTGCCCAGGGTTGTGAGGAAGAGGCCCTTGTCCCCATCAACATGGGGACAAGGTGCTTTGGGGGGAGCTCCTCTACATCCAAAGCAACCCCCCCATGTTGAGGGCATGTGGTCTGGTATGGTTCAGGGGGCTCAACATCCCCTCTTTCCTGGCCTGCCAGGCTGCATGCTTGGATAAGGGTCTGATAGGGGCTTTGGGGGGACCCCCTCACCATTTTATTTTTACATTTTGGCATGTGGTTTTCCTTAAAATCCATACCAGACCTAAAGGGCCTGGTTGGATTTGGGGGGGAACCCATGCTGTTGTTTTCCCTGAATTTTAATTGCCAGCAATTCTTTTGTTAACATTCAGCTGTCAGCGGGAACCAAACTGACAGCTGATGAGTCATCGGTTGTTAAGGACGCAGCGGCTGACTTGCCAGCCTGCTCCTTAACCACCAGCTATAACACAGGAGAGGAGGGGAGGAGCAGGAGGGGAATAGAAAAAAGACAACTCAAATTGTGTTCACAACTGATGACATTTAGAAGTGATTCCCATACAAGGCATTTAGAAGCATTCCCATAAAAGGGTCTGGTCCCCGTCGGTGATCCTGGCTCCTCCTCCCTGCTGAGTGCCCCCATAGCAAGCCACTTGCTGTGGGGACACGAATGCGTGCTCTGTGTGTCCATTTTCACCCCCACTGTCTGCTTACTGGCTGTTAATGACAGCAGCAGGAACCAATGGCTCCCGCTGAGGTGTCTGAGCTAATGAAGGAGAGAGGAAAAGAGCAATCCTCCTCTCATGCACAGCACTGGATCAAGATTGGGCTCAAGTATAAGGAGAGGGGGCTGGGTGGGTGGAGCTGCACGCAGAGGGTTTTTTACCTTAATGCATACCAGGCCAGGACTGGCCATAGGGTACACCGGACATTTGCCCGGTCCATAGCCTGTTGATGACCTGGCCGCACAGCGGGAGGTAAGCAGCAATCATGGTCCGGACAGGGCTAATATAGACAGCGGTTACTGTTCACCTCTTTCCATGTGGCCATGTCTGTGTCTCCTCTCCCGGCTCTCTGGCCACACCCGCCGGATTCCTAAGGCAGCAGGGCAATTTGTGGATGGTGATGTCATCGGGTGTCTGAATGAAGGGCACACCCAATCTGATGCGCCTTTTCCCAGATCTGCCAAGCTGTCAGCAGAGGAAGTAGCAGCTGCAGCTCTAACTCTACTCTATTACTGGTAGGTAGAGTTGACAGGAGATGGATGGGCAAAACGAGCAAAAGATTTTTAATGTGGTATGGAGGTGACAGAAGAGAAGCTAGAGTGGACAAAAGTGGAAAGAAGACAGTGTGGACAAAGTGAGTAGACAATGGTATGGTGAAAATGGACAGAAGATTGTTTGGAGAAAGTGGAAAAAAGGTGGTGTAGACAGACAGAACATAATTTGAAGCGGCCAAAGTGTACAGAAGATGATGTGGACAAATTGGGCAGAAGACTTATGGCAAAAGTAGGCAGAACGTGGCATGGACATAATGGAAAGAAGATAAAATGCACAAAGTTGAAGGAATATTTGATGTACAAAGTGTGTAGAAGTTGGTGGGGACAAACTGGGCAGAAGTTGGAGGAAACAGAATGGGAAAGAGATAGAATGCAGAATATGAATGATATATGTTATGGACAAAGTGTGTAGAAGGTTAAGTGGGCAAAATGGGAAGAGGGTAGTGGACAAAGTAAGTGAAAGGTGGTGCAGAGCAGATAGTAAACATTGGTATTGGCAGAAGTGGCACTCCAGCAGCACTGATGGCTTCCCTCGCATCATCTGTGGGGGATCTTCAGGATAGAAAGCAGGGGAAGGTGCCGGTTAATATGTCTTTTCCTGGCCCCTTCCTTCCTTTCATCTTCAGTGCAGCTGAGGCTGCAGAGAAAGGAATTGAAGAATCAATATCTTCAATTTCTTTCTCTGTTTCAAAAGTGAGTTTAGATGCCTGATGTTTCAGAAAAAGCCCCCCTTTCCCCCAACAGGGCTGTTAAAATATTGTAAGAAAAAATTAAATAAAACAATAAAAAAATAATAAAAAACTACTCATACAGTACACTGCCGTATAGAGATGAGCGAATTATTCAAAAATTCGGTTCGGCTGATTCGCCGAATTCGCCGAATAAATTTGCTTCGAGCCGAATATATTCGCTGCGAATTTAACTTATAAAAAGGGTGTTTCTAGGCTTCAGAGAGCCTTTATATTAGTGCAGAACACTGTACCTTTAATTTAAATGCCCTTGGAGTCTGCTGGGGAAGAGAAATAATACTGTCAGTCAGTATGACATGCAGATGAGTGCCGTCGATCTTAGAATCACCGCACACTTCACTCATTTGGGCAGTCACGGGGCCAAAACCAGAGTGTGGAGCCACAGTGTGGCGGTGGAGGCAGCAGCAATGGGAGGCCATACAGCACCCTATGACAAAATGGAACCCACCAGCAGTGTGAGGAGACCTGAAAGTGGCACATGGCAGAGTGTGGCGATGGAGACAGCAGCAATGGGAGGCCGTACAGGGACCCATGACACACTCTGGACCTGGGCAGCAGCATGAGGAGGCGGTACAGGGGCCCATGACAGATTACGGGCCTGGCAGCAGCATGAGGAGTCGGTACGGGGGCCCATGGCAGATTACGGGCCTGGCAGCAGCATGAGGAGGCGGTACAGGGGCCCATGGCAGAGTGGCAGAGCGTAAGCAGCTAAAATTGAAGGCCATACAGAGGCCTATGTTAAAAAGTCCCCCCAGCAGCAGCGTGGGGAGACGACTATCAAGAGTCCAATGGCAGAGTGGGGGAGCAGAAGCAGCTTCAATTGAAGGCCATACACAGGCCTAGGTTTAAAAGTCCCTCACAGTTAATTCCAATAACGAACTCTACTCCTCCGTGCAATCTACTTACGAGACCCTGGGCAGGTCTGGGTCCAATTTGTGGTAGAGACTGGTTTTGTTCAGCCATGCTTGAGCGAGTAATAACAGGTCTGTGCTGCCCTTTGGTGTCTGGCTTAATGCGCACAACACTGAACGTCCCAGCGTTTGTCAACGATTTGCCGTTAAGTGATGCAAACCCGCTGAACCACGTTCATGAGGAGCCGGTACAGGGGGGCATGAATCAGTATGGACCTGGCAGCAGCGTGAGCAGACGACAGAGGCACATGGCGCAGGGTGGCGGTGTAGGCAGCATTATTCTGAAGCCATACACAGGCCTAGGTTAAAAAGCGGAAGCCGTCAGCAGCGTGAGCAGACGACAGAGACACATGGCGCAGGGTGGCGGTGGATGCAGCAGTATTCGGAAGCCAAACACAGGCCTCGGTTAAAAAGCGGAAGCTGTCAGCAGCGTGAGCAGACGACAGAGGCACATGGCGCAGGGTGGCGGTGGAGGCAGCAACAATGGAAGGCCATACAGCACCCTATCACAAAATGGAACCCACCAACAGTGTAAGGAGACCTGAAAGTGGCACATGGCAGAGTCTGGCGATGAAGTCAGCAGCAATGGGAGGCCGTACAGGGACCCATGACACACTCTGGACCTGGCAGCAGCAAGAGGAGGCGGTACAGGGGCCCATGGCAGAGTGGCGAAGCGTAAGCAGCTTAAATTGAAGGCCATACAGAGGCCTATGTTAAAAAGTCCCCCCAGCAGCAGTGTGGGGAGACGACTATCAAGAGTCCAATGGCAGAGTGGCGGAGCAGAAGCAGCTTCAATTGAAGGCCATACACAGGCCTAGGTTAAAAAAGCAGCCCGACCAAGAGTCCAATGGCAGAGTGGCGGAGGGAAGAGCTTCAATTGAAGGACATACACAGGCCTAGGTTAAAAAGTCAGCAGTGTGGGGAGACGACTATCAAGAGTCCAATGGCTGAGTGGCGATCCGGGAAGTCAGCGTTGTGATTGCAGATGCAATGCAGAAATTCTACGAAGTAATGCCGTGGGTGCGAAGAAGATCATATACCGTCGTACTTCCATCCATAAGACGGAACAACCTGCGAACCGGGAGCTTTATTGCCCTGATCCGCTGAGCAGCTTCTGGGATACCCAAGAGGCCCATGGCAGAGTGGCGGAGCGTAAGCAGCTTCAATTAAAGGCCATACAGAGGCCTATGTTAAAAAGTCCCCCCAGCAGCAGCGTGGGGAGACGACTATCAAGAGTCCAATGGCAGAGTGGCGGAGCGGAAGCAGCTTCAATTGAAGGCCATACACAGGCCTAGGTTAAAAAGTCCCCCCAGCAGCAGTGTGGGGAGACGACTATCAAGAGTCCAATGGCTGAGTGGCGATCCGGGAAGTCAGCGTTGTGATTGCAGATGCAATGCAGAAATTTTATGAGGTAATGCCGTGGGTGCGAAAAGAAGATCATATACCGTCGTACTTCCATCCATAAGACGGAACAACCTGCGAACCCGGGAGCTTTATTGCCCTGACCCGCTGAGCAGCTTCTGGGATACCCAAGAGTTTGGCTTCTGTGGGGAATATGGTTGAAAACTGAAACTTAAAGGCATGTTGACGGAAGGGCACCAGTGTCAGTGCTCCGGAGGGAATATAGCTTCAAAGCTGACACTTAAAGGTATATCGACGGTCAGAGACCACAGGAAGTGGAGCTTGCGTCTTAAATCGACTGAATGTGGCAGACGTGAAAAACGGGCCGTTATGAAACGGGTTGTTCCTCTTTCTGGAATAAGTGTTGGAAATGGCCACTCTTTTTGGTGTGGCGTTTTGTCTATTTAATTCCGATAACGGACTCTACTCCTCCGTGCAATCTAGTTACGAGACCCTGGGCAGGTCTGGGTCCAATTTGTGGTAGAGACTGGTTTTGTTCAGCCATGCTTGAGCGAGTAATAACAGGTCTGTGCTGCCCTTTGGTGTCTGGCTTAATGCGCACAACACTGAACGTCCCAGCATTTGTCAACGATTTGCCGTTAAGTGATGCAAACCCGCTGAACCACGTTCATGAGGAGCCGGTACAGGGGGCCATGAATCGGTATGGACCTGGCAGCAGTGTGAGGAGACCCGAAAGTGGCACATGGCGCAGGGTGGCGGTGGAGGCAGCAGTATTAGGAAGACATACACAGGACTAGTTTAAAAAGCGGAAGCCATCAGCAGCGTGAGCAGACGACAGAGGCACATGGCGCAGGGTGGCGGTGGAGGCAGCAGTATTCGGAAGCCATACACAGGCCTAGGTTAAAAAGCGGAAGCCGTCAGCAGCGTGAGCAGACGACAGAGGCACATGGCGCAGGGTGGCGGTGGAGGCAGCAGTATTCGGAAAGCCATACACAGGCCTAGGTTTAAAACTGGAACCCAGCAGCGTGAGCAGACGACAAAAGATGCACATGGCAGAGGATGGATCTGGCAGCAGTATGAGAAGGCGGTACAGGGGCCCGTGGCACAGTGTGGTGATGGGGGCTACAGCAACTGGATGCCAGAAAGTGGCCGATAGGGCTATATACTGCATGGAATTATAAAGTTGTAAAGACAGCGGCCTATAAGGCTATACACACTATAACAATCATGACTTGATTGACCATTGGCCTATAAGGCTATACACAGCATGAATATCATGACTTATTCTGAGAGTGGTTTGGAAGGCTATATACAAAAAGTAATTCATGAGCTGTCCGGACAGCGGACAATAAGTACATATATACAAATCAATTCATCAGCTGTCCAGCCAGCGGCCTCAAAGGCGACACATATAGAAAGCAATTCATGAGCTGTTCAGACAGCGGCCTCTAAGGCGACAGATATACAAAGCAATTCCCGAGGTGTTCAGGGAGCGGCCTGAACGGCTAGGTTATTACTAAATATATTTTTGTGGCCAAACATCGGCCTATAAATAGATGTCTACACAGTGACAAAAAATTATGTCGCCAGACAGCGGCCCCTAAGGCGACAGATATACAAAGCAATTCCCGAGGTGTTCAGTGAGCGGCTTGAACGGCTAGGTTATTACTAAATATATCTTTCTGGCCAAACATCGGCCTATAAATAGATGTCTACACAGTGACAAAAAAGTAGGTCGCCTTACAGCGGCGTATCCTACAAATTGACATTATAAGAAATGGTTTAGAAAAAAAAAAAAAAAAAAAAACTTTGATGCGATGCTATACCTTAGTAGATTGTGGAAAGTCGACAAGTCAAGCGTAACTGTGTACATTACAGAAAATCTTAACAAGACAACCAAACATGTGGCCAAACAAACCGTGAACGATACAACAAGTTAACAATGTAAGAAACAGGAGGGGGCCAAACCGTGGCCAACAAATAAACAGTCCACCTCATTGATGAGATGGACAACACGTGTCAAATAAATATTTAAAAAATTGCTATTCCATCGGTCTGGAACTGGTCGACTATAAATAATTAAAAAGTTTAAATTCATGTGACAGTCGTCCAGCGACGTATAAATAATTTAAAAAACACCAATTCATGAGGGGCCCGACCAGCAGAGTATAAGTCATTAAAAAGGTTCAATTCATGTGACGGTCGTCCAGCGAAGTATAAATAATTTAAAAACCCCAATCACGAGGGGCCCGACCTGCAGAGTATAAGTCATTAAAAATGTGCAAAACATGAGTCGGGCCGACCAGCAGCCTCTCAATAAAATATATATACAAATGTACGGATCAGGTGGAGGTCTTCCATTTGTCCCTAATAACATGTTTGGGGCATGATTCATGGCGGATTTAGTCAGTTGTGTCAGGAACTGGTGGTTTGAAATCCAGACTAATCCACGCCTGATTCATTTTCACAAACGTGAGTCTCTCCACACTTTGGGTGGACAGTCGTGTCCTCCGCGGAGTTACAATACCTCCTGCCGCACTAAACACGCGCTCCGATGCCACGCTACTGGCCGGGCATGACAGCCTTTCAAGGGCAAATTCAGCTAGTTGGGGCCAAAGGTCAAGTTTCGTTGCCCAGTAGTCAAGGGGATTGTCTACCTCGGTTGGCAGGGTGCTGTCCAAGTAGGCCCAAGCCTGTTGTTTGAGGTCCTGCTCCAGGTCCACCTGATGCTGCTGCTGCTGCTGCGGTTAGTAGTTTCCTCACTGCGCTGGTGAAGAAAGCTACTCATCATCGACTGCAGACTGAGGCAGCCGCTGCTGGTGGAGCTGCCACTGCTCCTACCACCCCACCCCTCCCCTGCTGCCATGGCAGCGGAACGCGAGCGCACAGGGCCCACAGTGTCTGAGGATGGACGTTGGCGCAGAAAGGCAGAGACCAACTGACTACATAGGTGGTTTTTATAGTACTTTATTTTGGCCTCCCTCTCAGCAGGTGTGAAAAAGGCCACCATTTTTGAACGGTAGCGAGGGTCCAACAAGGTGGACAGCCAAAAGTCATCCCTCTGTCTGATGGTTATTATTCGGCTGTCGCTACGCAAGCAACCGAGCATGCTATGGGCCATTTGTGCCAAGGAATGCGAGGGACTCCCTGCCTCCATCTCCACAGCATACTGCCACGGTGCGTCTGGGTCCTCTGTCTCCTCCTCCTCCTCCTCTACCAGATGCTCCTGCTCCTCCACTCCTGTCCGCTGAGTGGAAAAAAAACCACCCATTTCACTCAATAATTCCTGAGCACCAATGTCCTCCTCTACCTCCTCCTCTTCTTCCTGTCCTGCCCCCACAGGGGTCATGTGGCGTTGAGATCTGTGCGCCACGTCTACCGCACCCTGACCAGCCATTGTTAACAGCATTTGTTCCAGGACGTGCAACAGAGGAATGACGTCGTTCATCCCATAGTCCTGCCGACTCACGAATAGCGTGGCCTCCTCAAAGGGCCTGAGCAAGCGGCAGGTGTCACGCATGAGCTGCCAATGGCTGACATCTAAGTTACACAGGGGAGTACCTTTATCCGCTTGTAACATCAGGAAATCGGTGATGGCCTTTCGCTGTTCGTAAAGGCGGTCTAACATATGTAGGGTTGAATTCCACCTTGTTGCAACGTCGCAGATCAGGCGATGCTGTGGAATTCCGTTCTGCCGCTGCAGCTCAAGGAGGGTGTGCTTTGCGGTGTAGGAATGGCTGAAATGCATGCAAAGTTTACGTGACATTTTAAGGATGTCTTGCAGTGGGATGGTGGATTTTAGGAACCGCTTGACAACCAGATTGAACACGTGAGCCATGCATGGCGCATGGCACAACCTTCCTTGACGCAGAGCAGACACCATGTTCTTTCCGTTGTCGGTCAACATGGTTCCGATTTTCAGTTTGCGCGGAGACAGCCATCTGTCGATTTCTCTGTTCATTACACTCAGAAGTTCCTCCCCTGTGTGACTACGTTCGCCAAGGCATACCAGGTGCAGCACAGCGTGACACCGTTGCGCCCTGCACATGTGATATGCCGGTCGGGTAATGGGACTTGGCACGGGGGGGGTGGCGGCTGAGGACACGGCGGAAAAGAAGAGGTGGTAGAGGCGGACATCTTTGCTGGACCAAGGACGTGCAAACGTGGAGGCAAAAGCGGCGTGACCTGTCCAAG